GCATACAGAGCTCAAAAGTAAAGAATAAAAGATAAACTAAGAGAGGAATTTACAGTATATAGGTGTATGAATTGGACCAGAGCGATAGCACAGCGGGTAGAGCGTTTCCCTTGCACGTGGCTGACCCGGGTTCGATTCCTCCTCCCTCTTAGAGAGTCCAGCAAGCTACCGAGAGTATTCCACCTGCACGGCAGAGCCTGACAAGCCCCCTGTGATGTATTCGATATGCCAAAAACAGTAACAACAAGTCTCACAATGAAGACATTACTGGTGCCTTCTCAAGCAAATCAATGAACAATGGGAGGACAGTGCTACAGTGCTAAGTGTATGAATCTACTTCCTTGTCATCTCCCAAGGAGACCAGTAAAGAATGAAGTTGTCTTTTATTCCATTAACACATATTAATACATATAGAAATTTTAAAATAAAAACCAACTTGGTATTATGCTTAGCTGACCATGAGATAACTTTATTTCATAAGAACAACACAGGTAGTTATTCTTACTTCCTAATTGTTCAGGGGCGAAGTAACTACCCAGGGCCAAAGACCAGCGACCTAAATTCAGTCCTGAATGAAGAACTCAAGCTCTTCCTATTTGACCACACTACTATGCTTCATTACCACCAGGAATCTAAAGTGATGAAATAATGCCAAATCTATTTTCTGTGGAAACTCCTGTTAAGAAAATATAGAAAATCATCTTACTGTTTGTTGCTGTGTGTGTTTATTCCTAAATACACTTCTTCCAATTACCCTCTTTTACCTCCTCCCCGCCCCCTCCCCAAGTCTTCTTTCTTCCCATGTTATACACAAAATCTCTCTGGAAAAAACACACTTCAACTCTGGTTCTGGTGGATAAAAACTCTCAAACAGCAGAGCAGAAAAACAAAAACCCCTGAAGAACAAAAAGGAAGCAATCACACTCTCCTTGAGAAATGGTCCAAGCCTGGTTTCTCACTGCAGTGTGTTTCAGTGAGTGACTTTAGGAAGGTACCTAACATCCTTTAGTTCAGTTTCCTCACAAGTAATATAGGACTAGGAGCATCTCTAGGCATGTTGGAAGAATTAGATGCAGGAGAAGATAGATAAGGTAATTAGCACAGTTTGTCTAATAGCATAGGTTTGTTAAATAACCAATTCTTGATGAATGCATACACTTAAGCACAGCTCTGTCCTCTTGCTCCCTTGGTCCCCACTATTGTTCATTTTGTGCCTTGTACAACCCTACCCCTACCTTCTTTAGGAATTCCTGACTTGGTATTGCTAAATAAAGGAAGAAAGCTCTATCTCCTTCTGGCTGGTAACTTAGAGAGCAGGTGGTCAGTCTGTTTAGGGAGTTCACTTCTTACTGCCCCTGGGTCCTCCTTCAACACCCAGGACTGGCGTCTGAATACATAAGGGCCTCCCATAAATCCATCCTTTACAGAGGATCCTTGGGAAGCACACTGGACAGGATCTGATGTCTCTTCCTTACCAATCTTCAGTATCGCATGATCTAACCATCTCAGATGCTAGGGACACATACCTATCTACCACAGACAAGAATCTAACTTGCCCTTTTGGATCAATCTATGGTCCTCTGAGAAGATTTGGGTTCTAAGCCTCTGATTTGTTGTTAGCAAAGACTAGCTCATAGAAGCAGAGGGTTTTCTTCCATTCACAGGTTGGGTAGCAAGCTTCTCTCCCTGAAATGTTAAGGCTACCCTAAGATGCCAGGAGATGCTCAACGGCAAATCTCTAGCTTCTCTACCTTGTTTCCATCATCACCCAGTCCAAAAGTCCTTAAATATGAGCCAAAAGTCCCCTTCAAGGTCTTTCCTTGCTTCAGACTCCTGTATTGGGTCTTTCACCCTTCCTTCCTTCCTTCCTTCCTTCCTTCCTTCCTTCCTTCCTTCCTTCCTTCCTTCCTTCTTTCCTTCCATCCTTCCTTTCACCTTCTTTCCTTTCTTCCTTCCTTCCATCCTTCCTTCCATCCTTCCTTTCACCTTCTTTCCTTCCCTTCCTTCCCTTCCTTCTCTTCCCTGTCCCCCCTCCCTCCCTCCCTCCCTCCCTCCCTTCCTTCCTTCCTTCCTTCCTTCCTTCCTTCTTCTTTCCTTCCATCCTTCCTTTCACCTTCTTTCCTTTCTTCCTTCCTTCCATCCTTCCTTCCATCCTTCCTTTCACCTTCTTTCCTTCCCTTCCTTCCCTTCCTTCTCTTCCCTGTCCTCCCTCCCTCCCTTCCTCCCTCCCTCCCTCCCTTCCTTCCTTCCTTCCTTCCTTCCTTCCTTCCTTCCTTCCTTCCTTCCTCACAGAGCTTACTGCTGACTCTGTACTCCGGGATCACTTCAGTTAGTGCTCAGAGAACCAATGGTATATAAGGGTTAAAAATTGGGTCATCTGTGTGCATGGCAAGTGCTTTAACCACTGTGCAGTATTTCTGGACCAGGAACTTTATAAAGGCCCAGATTGTGTACAGAACCAAGACTGGGTTGGGTGCTTGAACTCTTGGGATCACATGGGTGCAGTCAAATTTCTTCTTTTCAAGCTACTAATGAAGTTTTAATATGCTGAGATTTATCTATATGGTCAGCTGGTGGTTACCTTGCTTCTAGAAAGGCAGCCAAGAAGCTGATTGTCTCCACGGATGGCACATAATTTGTTTTCAAATAATTATATGCGCCCACTCTAGTCTTTCCTCAATTCCACAATGCACTAAAGAGGGCAGCACTACTACCTGGCCACTTGAGTCTCTCTCCATCTCCTCTAGATACTTCCTGCCAAATGTCACAGGTAGCTACACCATTGTTCAATATAACCTTCTGGTTTTCCATGTTCTCTACTGTCCTATTTTACCTCAGATGAAAATGGTGAAGTTGTACCTGCCCAGGTCATTCTTAAGCCTTATCAGAGTAAGACACACATGAATGAAACCTCTCAGTTTTCTTTATTTTTAAGTTTTTAAAAAATTTTATAAGTTAGTTCACAATATTTGATTACATTTAATATTCAAATACCAATCCCACCACCATAACACCTTCCCGCCACCAAATTCAGGATGTTTCCATCCCAAGCCCCAATCCCTGTCCCAAACACAACTGAAATAATATATTTTGTATTGTCTGTTATGAAGAACTGCTGAACATGCTTACAAAAAAAGTGTTCATATAGGAAACTGTGAAAATTGTTCTATTTTGGCAGGAGCCATTAAGACATTCTATAGGATATCACTAACATGTTGATAAAGTTTGGGTGATGTAAACTTTGCTATATATATATATATATATATATTTGAAAATATGTATATATATTTTCCCTCTATGAGTTGTTGCCTACTATCTGAACCCCATCAAATATGGTGTGGTAATTATGGAGAATGGGTACAGAGTGTTTTATGATGTGTCGTGCTACTGCTTTCGTGGTCACGCAGTCCAGGAATATGTTCACTCATATGTGAGGTTCAACCTGAGCATGTGGGGAGCAATATTGAGGGTGGCAGTGATTGGGTTGGGAGGTTTTCAGCTGCTAGGACTGGGTCCCTTGGGGTGGGGAGGGCTCTCACTCGCCCCCCCCCTGGGGTGCCCCGAGTGAAACAGCTTGGCATGGAGTACGGTGACATGGCTATGGAGGCCTCATGTTATGCTCCCTTCTGGGAGAAATAGCCGTGTGATCTGGATGGTGATCTGGAGATTACCTGGTGCCCTCAGGAGGTGGCTTATGGGTGTGATACCTGGGTTTCCGGAGACTGGTGGAAATGAGCAGAGCATCTCCGCTCCTGGGTCCCGTTGAGCCCAGAGTCTATGGTCACAAAGTTCCACATTATCTGGGTTCCATAGGACTTCTCATCTCAGTTTTCTTGATTTAGCCATAGAACCCTAATTTCCCTCTCTGTGATGCTGATATGGAAGACAGAGGGCAACCAACATTGAAAGTCATCATGTACTAAAATGCAGCAATTGCTATCTACAGATTTAAGGAACAAAGATTCACGTACCTCTACTCATCCAGTATTTTTTGTATCTTTCTACTTAAGTCATTATATCTTGCCTGGACTTATGACTTTTGTAAAGCATTTAAAAATAAATCAAAGTATTTATGGAGATATGACTCTACTACACAATTTGGTGTTAATGAAGGCTACTTGGGTTAATCAATTGGTCAAGATAATTTTTAGGAATTAATATTCTTAACCTCATCAAACTCTTCTACCATCTCTTACAGTGACATTAATACTACACTACACAGCTATACTTGCACACACACACATAAACACACATACACACATAGACACACACTGTGTGGTGCTTTCTTATTTCCATATATACTCTACACTGTTTGAGGACGTCAATATTTGCTTGTTCCACAAAGAAGGTAATGATTCTCCATTATATACTCAGTCTAAAAGCATAAAAGGACACGCAATTAAAATTTGTTAAATGAATGAATAAATGTTGAATGCTTGCTACTGCTTCCTTTAATTAATTAGTAGTTGTTTAATTAGGTAATGAAACAAAGCTGTTCTCCAGAGTCCAGTGACATTGTTCTCATATATTTTAAATCACTTGTTATTGCTTTGTGTGTCTGTAAAAATCTACAGTTCTCAACCTTTGTTTGGTCTTGAAATCGCTAAAAAGAAAATATTAGGATTCTGAAACTGCCTCTGTAATCAAACACCCACCTGACCAATTATAACCCTGAGAATCTATAGTTAGCTTTGTTTTGCATGGATTGGCAGGCATACACTGCAGGCCTACTGGGCTTGCAAATACCTCTTGCCACTTGTAAATGATGCCTGGAATTTCCACTATTACTGTTTCAACTCATTGGCTAAGTCAAGCAGGCTGTGGGCTTCCAAAAGAGTTCAGCTATCCCAGGGTTGGTGAGTACATAGATCCAGAGCATTGTGAATACTTTGGTTTAAATTTTCTAAAATTGTTGCGGGGAATACAAGAATATATGGGCAACTGGGGTCTCAGAGACAAGACACTCAAGCAAAACATGGACCATTTTAACAATTTTTATTTTACAACTTTCTGATTTTGTATATTTGCGTGTCATCCTTGCACAGGGGTCATGCTAATCTTCTCTGTATTGTTCCAATTTTAGTATATGTGCTGGAGGGATAGCACAGCGGTAGGGCATTTGCCTTGCACGCAGCCAACATGGCCGACCCGAGTTCGATTCCTCTGCCCCTCTCGGAGAGCCCGGCAAGCTACTGAGAGTATCTCGCCCGCTCGGCAGAGCCTGGCAAGCTACCCGTGATGTATTCGATATGCCAAACACAGTAACAACAAAGTCTCCAATGGAGTCGTTACTGGGCCCGCTCGAGCAAATCGATGAACAACGGGAGGACAGTGACAGTGATTTTGTATATATATCATATATATACAAAATCAGAACAAATGGAGAAGAAGCCAAAATGTGTACTAAGGTCATAAATGTTTATATTTACTGTTATAAGTTTTATATTATACTTTTAAACTGCTATTAAAACTTATATAAAATTTAATTAAGTATTATAAGTTGGGATTCTCCTAAATATTGTTTCTTCAAATTTCACCTTTATTATTCTTTCACTTTGAACCCCCTGGATTTTCATTTCAGTTGCAGAATGGTAATTCCTATATTTAAAATGTCAACGTTGAAAAAAAAACCAACGTTGATTATGAAAAGTGATTTTAAAATTAGATTCATACATATTTCATTAATTGCACGTGTACTTCAATCACTATGTGTAAAGGGATTTTAAATAAAATCCCAATTTATGATTGAGCAGTGACCTCTACTTATTTATGGGTTTATGCACATCCCTCCATGACATAAGTTTGATATATGTTAAAACAAATAAATCACTGAAATGAAAAAATATCATTAAATATTTTACACTATCTTGAGCGCATTGGAAGTATGTTCCATACTTGGAAAACACTGCTTCAGTTGTTCCTGAGATGACACTAGATACAGGTTTTTGAAGAGATCATATCTAAGGAGTTGTGTTGTTTTCAACTCTGTTTATAGTGGAAAATGTGATGAAGGATGGGAGGGGAGACAAGGACTGAAACTTGAGTTCTAACTGTAGCTTTGCCATAAAATTCTTGCATGACCTTGGACAAGTCCCCTCCTCTCCCTGGGTCTCATTTTTTTCCAATTTAGCACAAAAAAAGAGGGGATGGAGTCCCTATCACCTTTTCCTTCCTGGACCTTCAAGATGGCTTGATTCCCCTGCAGTTAAGTCAAGTGTGTTTAAGTAAGCAAGCCACCTTCTGCTCGCCTCATCCGGCCTCTTATCTTAATAAGTAATGAGTATGCCAAGGGCTGACAATGACATATTTTGAAAATAGTTTTAATGCATAGCTGGCAGAGGACCTGTTGGGCGTTGACAAATTACACAAACAGAGATGATGAGGAGTGCATCAAATATTAACGGCCCAGGGCCCAGATGGTAATGGAGAACTTACCTGCATCTTACATAAGTGTACTCATGTTTGGCTGAAGAGAAATTTCTTTTCAGTCTCTACAGAAAAACAAAGTGCTTGCACTCAGAACAAATAGAGAAGACGAAAACTGTTTTTGCAGAAGCTTAATTTTGACTTAATTTATTGAGTGAGATATATGAGAGTTGACGTCTTTTAAGTGAATTTTGCTATTACCTGTGCAAAGGTTAAAAATTAAATTTTTATTTCTGGTACTGTAAAAAATTAATATGAAAAGTATCAAAAGCTATTGATAGGGTACAAGGAAATGTACTTGAAAATGTGTGCTACACACGTGTTTCTACTATTTTAATATAAAAGCAAGACTACATTTTATGGAGCTTGAAGGATGATATCTTCTTAAACATAGTTCAGTATTATTCAAATCACTCTTCCATTAACTATTTAAGCAGACTTTACCACTCCAAGGGCCTTTGAATAAAGTTCAAAATTAAAATGGTGGTGTCAAAAATATGTATTGCTGATCTGAAGAAACTACAAGTTCTACGGTGAACTTCTCAGGACAATTTCCTGCTTTGTTAAAAGACCAAGATCTTGATCTGCCCTTCCTGTGGCCAAATAACCAAATTCTAGTTATGTTTAGATAAAAAAATATCTGCAAATAAAAAGTACAGATTGTGGGTACCTAAAAGAATTTTAGAAAAATTTTAAGGTGGGAAGTGTCACTTATCTTGCTTTCTGCTGACCCCAGTTCAAATCCCAGGCATCACATATAGCCCCAAGTACCACCAAGGGTCACTCCTCAAAATAAAGCCACGAATACTCTTTGCTCACTTTCAGGTGTGGCCCAGTTATCCTCAAATTTCACAAGAAGAATAAATGTGTTTATTGTAAGTATGTTCCATATCATTTATGAGACATTAAAATTTCTTATTTTCTATCTAATAAAAATTTTAGCTGGGTATCCTATATTATTTCTTGTGACTTTACACCCAAAGGTTGGTAGTAAGCCTTTGCTACAAGGGGCCAGATAGTAAATATCTTTACTATCAAGTAATAATTCTTTTGCGAATTTAGTTAATTCTGTGGAATTCAGCTAATAATGACTTAACTCAGCCATAGCCATGGATAGCTTCTTTAGACTTTACCCCATTATTTTATATTGTAAATCCCTAATAGGCTATAAAAGAAGTCTCAGCATTAGCTATTCGTGGGTATTTGCTATTCCATATGGAATTTCAGGAATGCTTGATCTATTTCTTTCAAGAATTTCATGGGTATCCTCATAGCGATCACTTTGAATCTGTATAATGCTTTCGGAAGCATTGCCATTTTGACAATGTTAATTCTTCCTATCCATGAGCAGGGAATATGTTTCCATTTCTTGTGACCTCTTTAATTTCATGGAGTAGCGTTTTGTAGTTTTCATTGTAGAGGTCCTTTACCTCTTTAGTTAGGCTGATTCCAAGGTATTTGATTTTCTAGGGCACAATTGTAACTGGGATTATTTCTTTCATGTCACTTTCCTCTCTCTCATTATTTGCATATAGGAAGGCCATGGATTTTGGGGCATTGCTTTTATAGCCTGCGATTTTACTGTACAATTCAATTGTTTCTAGGAGTTTCTTGGCAGAGTATTTAGGATTCTCTAGATATAGTATCCTATAATCTGCAAATAGTGAGGTCTTGATTTCTTATTTTCCCATCTGGATGCCTTTAATGTCTTTTTCTTGCCTAATCGCTATTGCAAGTACTTCCAGCACTGTGTTAAACAGAAGTGGTGATAGTGGGCATCCTTATCTTGTTCCTGATCTTAGAGGAAAGGCCCTTAGTTTTTCCCCATTGAGGATAATGCTTGCCAGGGGTTTGTCATACATGGCTTTGACTATCTTGAGAAAAGTTCCTTCAAAACCAATTTTGGTGATGACCGCAGAACAATGGAACAGGGTGGAATATCCGTACACACAACCCCAAATGTATGAACATCTAATCTTTGATAAGGGAGCAAGAAATGTGAAGTGGAACAAGGAAACCCTCTAACAAATGGTGCTGGCATAACTGGACAACCATATGTAAAAAAAATTGGCTTAGACCTCGACAAAACACCATGCACAAAACTCAGATAAGAATGGATTAAAGATCTCAACTTAATCACTTCACTTAATCACTTAACTTCCCGTTAGTCATCGATTTGCTTGAGCGGGTGCCAGTAACGTCTCCATTTGTCCCTGTCGCATGCTAGTGTAGCCCAATGGCATCTGTTCGCTCTGGGAACACGAAGAGCCTCAAACCGATCGTTCATGATCTTGATGAAGAAGTCTGACCATCTGGTAGGTGGGCGGCCACGCGGTCTTTTGACATCCCGTGGAATCCAGTAGGTAACAGCTCTAGTCCAGCGGTCGTCTTTAAATCTCATTACGTGACCAGCCCATCTGATTTTTGACACCTTGGCAAATGAGACAGCGTCCCTGATCCTTGATCGTCGACGGATGTCAGAACTCCGGATTCTTTCTCTCATTTGAGTGAAACGTGATATTCCAAGCATAGCTCTTTCTATTCTTCTTTGGGAGACCTGAATAGCGTTCTCATCTTGTTTGCGTAGGGCCCAGGTCTCTGAGGCATATGTTAATGCAGGAATAACAGTGAAATCAAAGAGATGTGCCCAGAGCCGGAGGTTCTTCATCCTCTTAGCTATTTCTTCAACGTTCTTGAAGGCGTTCCAAGCCGCTCTCTTCCTCCTGCACAGCTCGGGTGCCAGGTCATTTGTCATGTTGACCTCTCGACCTAGGTACACATAGCTGTTGCATTTGGAGATGGTCGTTCCGTTGAGAGCGAATGAGGTGTCGGGAACAAGGCTCTTTCTCATAAACATTGTCTTTGTAAGATTCAGCTGTAGTCCTACCTTTCCACACTCACGGTCAAAGTTGGCCAGCATTTGTGCCGCTTGGCTGATGTTTGGTGTTATTAAAACAATGTCATCAGCAAAGCGGAGGTGGTGTAGTTGCCGACCATCTATCTTCACTCCCATTCCTTCCCACTCCAGTAGTCGCATGATGTTCTCGAGGGTGGCACTGAAGAGTTTCGGTGAAATGGTATCACCCTGCCGCACCCCTCTCTTGACATCAACGATCACTTCTTTGTATAATGGTGAGATCCTGGTAGTGAATCCGCAATACAGCTCACGGAGGATCCTGATGTATTGGGCTTGAATGCCCTGATTGGCTAGGGCTTCAATGACCGCTTCCGTCTCAACAGAATCAAAGGCCTTCTTTAAATCAATGAACGTTAAACAGAGCGGCATCTTGAACTCCCGAGAAACCTCAATGAGCTTGGTTATCGTGTGGATATGGTCGGTGGTGCTGAATCCTTTGCGGAACCCGGCTTGCTCGCATGGTTGTCCTTCGTCTAGTGTTCTGCCAATCCTATTTAGGATGACTCGAGTGAACAACTTGTAGATGACAGACAATAGGCAGATCGGGCGATAGTTGCCAATGTCATGGATGTCTCCCTTCTTGAATAGTAGTACGGTCCTGCTGGTTTTCCATTGGGACGGAACCTTGCATTCAGACAGGTAGCGAGTGAAGAGCCGAGCCAGTGTATTGATGAGTACTGATGGCAGGTTCTTCAGGTGTTCAGGTCTGACCTTGTCTGGGCCGGTTGCTGTTTGTTTCTTTACCGACAAAATGGCGTGTCGG